AACTCTCCTGTGAGGCTGGAAGTTTCTCCCACTGCCACAACCTTCACAGAATTTTGCAGCCAGAGGTTTTGAGCTTTATTTCTCCACAATAGAAATAAACTCTAGGTCAAGTGGTTTGTCTCACTCCCTAGTTGTTCCTCCCAGTTTATCTGTCTGCAAATGTGGGATATCCTGGTCTTCCAGCCACTGCCTTGCCCCTTCCAGTCCACAACCTTGCCACTGTCCTCTCTGCATTGGCAATCTCTGAGATGGGCAATCTCTGCCACTCCTACCAGTCTGGATGAATATTTCTTCTTTAAGTCCTTCACTGTTGGACTTCCATACAATTTGATTTTCTGCAGTTATGTTGGTTTTTTGTTTTTAGTTTGTTGTGGTCTTTTTTTGGTTGTGCAAGGAAGCAAAGCTTATCTACCTATGCCTCCATCTTGGCAAGAAGTCTCCATTAAGCACTTAAAAAATACAATAGGATATACATCATACATACAGGAATCAAAAATGAAATTCGGGCTTGGGTGCAGGCAGATATGGACAGGTAGCCTGGATAAAATTTTTAAGAGGCAAAGGCTATGCAGAATGGAAGTTAAATCCATCCTGAAGACAGTGAAAAGCTGAAAGAACACTGCAGAAATTGTTCAGTTTCTTCATTTTCGTTTTCATTCCATGCAAAGTGAAAAACAAAAGTGAGAAACTCTGCAAGTGGAGCAGGAGGTATAGGCTGAAAGTGGCCCAGCTACTATTGTCAATGGGGCAATGATGGTTCCCAGTGTGAAAGGAAACCTAGACTTCTGCTTGGAGGATAGTGATGTGAAGATGTTTTCACCTCTGTTCTCTTGAAAAACCACTTTTTAAAAACCATGAGAGTGGAGAGAGGAAGCACAAATTTCATTAAAAAATTAAACTTGAGGAGATACGTGGCCTTGAGATTCACTATCTGAAGATGGAGAGCAAGTGAAGAAAAGATCAGGAGAAGAGGGGCCAGGATGTCTCACTCTTCAGTAAGCAGACTTTCATTTCCTCCCTGTTTTCTACCTGGCAGCTCATCTCTAGAAACATCCACATCCATGCGTCTTGTCACTGAATTTGGGGTAGGGATCTTACCTAGATCTTTCCAGGAAAATACCTCTCTTCTCTCGGGGGTGAGCAGTCTGACTTCTTATTATACAGACTGTCAAACAACACTTCACCTCCTGTGTTCAGTCCCTTAACTAATGCTGTGTCTTGTGTGGTTTGCAGTCATCAACTAAAGAATTTCCAATGCTCCTGGTGCCAAACTAGGCAGTCACTCTGCAGAGAACTGTTCTCCTGGGCTTTGCTGAGCATAAGGAAGGATGGACAGGAGATGAGAGATGTGTGAGAGCTGGAGTCAGGAGCACTTGTGTGAGCTTCTAACCTGGGTTCCTAAAGAGAAGTGGCAAATACCAGATTCTAGGCCACAGGTAGGTAACTTGGTTGCCAACAACAAGCTCTCTAAATTGGGGCACTAAAGACTGATCCTCTCCTCTAGGGGAACATCCATGCATTCCTAGGCACTTTATTCCTTTTAGAGCTATTGTGGCTTCCCCCTTGCTCCCATATTTGCCAACTGTGTGTTGTTGGCCCCCTGAGAGACAGTTCTTCAATTGTTCCTTTTAATTGCAAACTACTTAAAATCTTACCAATAAAGATCCTTTCTGAGGTGGGGGTGGAGGTGGTGCTGGGCTGAAGTTAGCCAGGCAGTGTCTGTGGCTTGTTCTCAAACAACATTGGTGGACACAATTCTGCGAGATTGCAGGGCCTGTAAAGGCAGCTTGTCCCAGAAGCCTCATGCCTCTGCACATATGGTGAGTCTGAAGGAACAAGAAAGTGTGGGAAAGAGAACACAGAAGGTGAGGTGAAAGCAACCCATTTTGCTGGGTCTGAAGTAGCAGAATATTCAAGTAGTGGTACTTTCCTACATTCAAATCCAGATGTTGAGGACTTAATTCTTCACTGTGGAATCCTTAAGAAGACACATTTTACTCCAAAAGGCCTTTATAATTTTGCAATGTGTAAAATAAGTACCAGCCCAGAGCCCAGAAAGCTCTTGGGACCAGTGTTATGGGCTAAATTGTCATGTCTTTCACCCTGCAATTTGTATGTTGAAGCCCTAACCCCCCAGTATCTCAGAATGTGATCTGTCAAAATTAGAGAGACAACATAGAGGTTTCTTAACTCATGGTGCACAGAGAGAGAGGGGTCAGTAAGTGACTATCACCACAGCATTTGAGTCTGCTCACCCTGACTCATTTGCCTAGGAGGGAGAGAACCTAGTAGAAGCTGGTGTGCAGAAGAGAGGCTGATCTCTTATAAACAGCCAAGGGTCTGCAATGTGAGGATGTGTATGAATTTGGAGAATAGCTGCATAAAGAAAAACGAGAGGGTCTTGAGTTGTCTGAGGCTGGTCCTGTGGTGCTTACTTTCTAGTTACGATGAACTTAATCTTCATACCTGGAGTGAGGAAAATCAAATAAGATGAAGTTTAAAAAAATGACAGAAGGAGCAGCCTGTTGTGGGGAGGAGGCACTTTGTGACCCTCTTTAGGATTCTTCCCTCTTCTGCATTCTGGGGCAGGCAGAGGTGGGAGGGGCTGAAGGGGCAGAAGGGAGGTCTGCCAACCTGGCTTTAGGGAAAAGTTTGGGCCACTGGGGGTTGTTTCCAATCTCTGCAAGCTCTCAGTTATGGAATCAATGATCCATGGCAGTTATTAACCTCCCAAGTAGAAAGCGTTGCCACTTCCTGAAGCTGTCCTGCTGTCGGGGATAGTAATCTAGCCATCTGGCCTTCATCAGATTCTAGGGGAGCCACAGGATTTCCTGACACTCAAGCAGGAGACTCTGGCTACGGGAATCCAGCAGCTGCACCTTTGCTGTTAGACCAGGAGGGGTGCTTTCTGCAGCTAGTTTCTCTGCTCCTCTTCCAATCCACTGTTCTCCTTAATATCTGGTTAATAATCCTGAATCACAATTCTGATCATGCTACGCTATAGTCAAAAAGCCTTTAACTGTAGCCCTGCATAGGTAGCTAAGTAGGTTGGAGTGTCATCCCGTACATCAAAAGTTTTCAGGTTCCATCCCTGGTCAGGGTACATACCTGGGAGGGGGTTTGATCCTAGGTGCAGGTGCATAGAGGGGAAACCCATCCATGCTCTTCTCTGACATCAATGTTTTTTCCTCTGTCTCTCCTAGGAGAGACCTTCTTCTCTCCTACCTCTCCTCTCTCTAAAATCAGTAAGTATGTCTTTGGATGAGGATTTAAAAGAAAAAGCCTTCAACTCTCACACTAAGAATTAATACCAGAACCATAGAGCATTATTCAAAAATCTCCCCAGTTTGACTCCAAAACACCGTTGTGAGTTCATCACTGTGTGAAATGATATACTTGTGGTTCATGTCTTTATTATATTAACATCTGTCTCAGTATCTTATAGCTGAAAGATTTTCAGCAAATATTTATTGAATGAATAAATAGGTAGGTATAATCACCAAAACTTGAAAAAGGAGTGAAGAAAAAACATCTGAATTGGGGTTCAGAAATCAGTCAATTTGATTTCTGTGTCTTCCCCATTTTTCCCCTCTACCTCTAGCCATCTTTGATTTCTTTGATTTGATTTGTGTTTTCTTTCATGTGGGAAGGAACAGAAGAGTGGGTTTGTGATGGGTGGTCTGGAATTGCTTGTGACATCCTTAGATAGTATGGAGATTGGCTTTACTCAATTTTTTTCTTGAAATCTTTGCTGATATATATTTTAAAGGATTATTTTCCTCTCATTCAAGAGAGAGGGGAGTAGGGTTGCAGATCAAGTGAAAGAGACAGACATCAGTGGCCTGCTTCCTGCCTGCACCCCAATCAAGAATTGATCCCACAACCCAGGCATGTGTCCTGACTGGCAATTGAACCAGTGACCCCTCCTTTACAGAACTGCACTCCAAACAACTGAGCCATGCTGGCCAGGGCTTCCCTGATATTTTTACCTGAAAGAGTCTCAGCACAAAGAGTGTGTGTTGGCATAGGCAGTCATGGCAGTGGTCAAGGGTGGGGGTGAGATTTGAGCTGGGCCTTGGATATTATGTCAATAAGCAGAACTGAGGTAAACTCCAGCATAAAACAGATACTTAGTATATAATTCTTCAATGAGTCTGTCAGTAAATGAGGAAAGGAAATAGAAAACACTAAATATGTCTGATGAAAAATAAGGCTATTTAGCTGAAGTAGCAAGATCTAGCTGGAAACATGCTTAATTATTTTTATTGATTGATTGATTTTAGAGAGAGAGAGGAAGAGAAACATTGATTTGTTGTTCCACTTATCTATGCATTCATTGGTTGATTCTTGCATGTGCCCTGACCCAGAGATCCACCCACAACCTTGACATATAGAGATGATGCTCTAACCAACTGAGCTACCCTGCCAGTGCTAAAACCAAGGTTAAAAAAGCAGTGTTCATCAAAATGACAAAGGTACTGGCAAAGACTGTTTTTAAGCCCTATATCCATTAGTGTTCCCTGCTTGATTCAGAGTACTTCATCCCTGCAGTCTAGCTGGTAAACTATCCCCAGAAAAATTCTCTAAGGAGAGGGAAGATAGTCCTGAGAGACTGAGGAATTGTTAAGGTAATTTGTGGCACCAAGGCAGACAAAAAGAGTCACATCTATGAGCTCTGCTTTGATTTCTTATTTTGATTTTTGTTTTGTTAGTTTAGTTTTCTTTCAGTTTAGATCTGTGCATGTTGGTAGGTGACTCAGTTAAACACACACACACACACACACACACACACACACACACTCACTCAAAATTGTTTGGAAGAAGTCCAAGAATATCAGAGTGATTCTTACTCCTTTGGGAGTGTATCCTGGAGGAAGGAAACCTCCCAGGTAAGCAATGGGGGAGTGTGGCCCTGAGGTCACGGTGGTGTGGGATTGGTGGGATAGCTGGAGTGGAAGGGAGCCTCACAGGGTGGCAAGCAAATGCAGGGGAATCTGAGGTAGAGAGTAGGCTTCAGGTTGTATTAAAGAGGTTGCAGAGTTGTGTGACCTTCCAAGCAGAGGGGACCTCAGCCGTGAGCACCTAAACAGTGCTCATGGTATCTGGTGGCCAGGACACACTAGAGTGGGGACCCCTGGTCAAACTGGCCAGGACATACTGCTTCCAGTGGATACCAACAATTCCAGATGATTCAAATGCTTGGGGGCAGGACGAATGATAACCTCTGCTGAAGTTTCTACAGCATTTAACAGTTGAACAACCTGATTTTTATTTGCATATAGGCTAGTTGATTAGTGTAGAAAGGTGCTGATACAATTTCAGAGATCAGATAATGGGTTCTGAGGGGGAATGTAGCAGTGAGTCAGCACAGTGCCCAGCATGCAAACCTCATGTCTCCAAATCCACCTCCTGTGTGTCCCCTTCACTGCTTCTCTGGGCTCTGCTGATGGCGATGACAGTCATTTTCCAGCTCACCTCTCTCCTGTCCCAAAGGACAGACAGGTGGTTACTGGTCTGCAGACTAAGAGGCAGTTTCAGCCCCTGATTCCTGCCCCTCATTCCATAGGACAGTGAGGGTCTGGGCCAGGCTGCTGTGTTGCACATGGCAGAAGTAGGGGCCTATGTCTGAAGAGGGGACTTTCACTGTCACCCAGGAGTGGTAAGTGCCATCTTCCTTAAGAATAATGTCTCCCCATTCATCAGTCTCCAGTGGGTAGTCTTCCTGAGTCCAGTACATACTGACTGGTCCTGGGTAGAAGTTGTAGGCTATGCACTTGAGAGTCTTGATGTTTCCTGGGCCCTCCTGGCTGGTGAATGACACAGAGGGAGCATCTGTGGAGAGATACAATGGAGTGAGGGTCTGAAGGTGACGTTTCCCTGCTCAGTGCCTCCTCAAGGAAACTTGGAGAAGATCAGGGAAGCTGAGGCTTTCCATGAGCTTTCCTTGTGGGATAATGGAATGTCCCTGGCCACTTTCTTGCCTCCCAGCAGCCCCCCTTTCCACCCACTGTGTGCTGACTTCTGATGCAAAGAAACTGTGTGCCTTGTGGTGCCTGTCACCCACTGTCTGAGCCCTGCTCCTAATTTCTGTCTGCTGCTGTGCCATTGGGACCCTGCCCTGTGTCCACAGGACCCTCTTTCTCATTACTTGTCACTAAGTCTCAGCCTGTGACAATCAATCCTGCTCACACTTAGTCACCTTCATCCTTCCTGGGCAGACATTTTACACACCACAGTGAAGCCAGGAGGCATATCAGAGAGAGAAATGACTACAGAATTTGCCTGAAAAGTTCCTTTGAGCTCCCAGCCTGGGATCACCTTGATCTTTCTCAGCTCAGTGTGGGGGAGCAGTACATAGAGAGCACTGGGTACCTTGACGGTCCAGGAATGTCTTGCTGTATTGCAGGTAATTCCGCAGCATCTGGGGGCACTCCTGCTCCAGGTAGGCCTTGGCTGCTTGCACAGAGCCTTCTGACTCCCACTTCACTTTTGTGAACACAGCTTTTGTTTGCCGGGGGAACCAGGCTGGGATTTCTCTGATGAACTTGATGTACTCCTGTCCATTGTAGATATATGTCCAGAATGCTCCGCAGTAGTTGTTATCTTGAAGCTCACAACCGAATTTTCCCTGAAGAGTGTGATCACCTGCATTCCCCCAAACCCCCTTAGAATTAGTCAGCTAGCATCATCCATCAGCCCCATCTTAATAGTTTGCACTAACTCCTACACAGTTTGCAAAGCAGCAGGAAGAAAGGATTTGAAACCTAAGCATGGAACCCCTCTTATCTCAGCAAATGGGTTTTTAGCCAGACATAGAGCAGGCAGAGAGAGGGAAATTGAGTATGCTTTGGTGTTTTAGGCCAGTCTGAGTTGAGATATATTCTTCCCAGCCAGGGAACTTCAAAGAGCTATGGACTGTGGACATATCTCCTAGCCCCATGCGGCTTCTCTTTAAATGAACTTTGTTTCACTACAGTGTGAGGTCTTAAGAAATGGACACTAACACACTGAAATGCATGTTCAAGTTAAACAGAAATTATCTGTAGCTTAAAATACAGTAGGTGATCTTTCCCTTTTCCCAGTTGTATGTAAAGTTGGTATCTCCAGTTGAGTCAGCACAATTTCCTCAGTTTGTCTCTCTTAGTGGGGTTTTAATATCTTCAAACAAATCTCCAATGTCTACCTCCCTTCCCAATTAGCAACAGCTCTTGGAAAAGGACATTTGCTTGGAAGAGAGACACAAGCTCTTCATTTCATTTTAGCAACTCTCACTGGCTTTCTTAGGTGACGGGGCTCCAGGGGAGATAAAGACAATGTGTGTTCTAGCTTTCATGGAATTCACCTCTTGGAGGCAGGACTCAATAATTCAGGGGTGTTTTTGGTTTGTTTTTGTTCTTTAATTTTTACACCAGATAATTAAGAATTTGTTCACTGTCAAACAGCTAGTGAATGGCAGAGTCAGCACTTGAGTTCTGGTCAGAATTGCCCTAAGTTTAGTTAGCTCACTCCCCACCCAGCATCCCTGCATGGGGGTGAATCTGATACCTTATAAAGTGGGATCTACCTCAGAGGTCAGGGTGTGGAGCTCAGAGGTCAGATGTGCCTAGGTAAGGGCTGAAACTGACTTCACTTGCTGTGAGAGTTGAGGCCTGAAAGTGAGGATTGGGGAAGTGATGGGGAAAGGGGAAGGGCAGCTGAGATGTGGGGACAGGTAGTGCAGACATGTCTGTTTACTTGCACTTGTTCTCCCCCACATTTAGATAAGGGGTATTTTCATCCTGTAGATGAAAATTTCATTCCTTTCTGCTACAAAAAACAGTGCCTCGTTAGCTAAGACCCTCCACCCCAGTAGTCCATTGTTCACTGACCTCCGTCCTGGAAATAGCCTATAATGTCTTTCAGGGTCTCCATGAAGGTGTTCTCCCTGGCCATCTGCAACTGGGTTTCATTCTCCCAGTCCACCATTCCTTTTACCTGTGTCCACGGGCCCAAGGGCTCAGCCACTTGACTTTCACTATCATAGTGGAGGAAGGCTAGATCATTGAGATAGCCAGTGACTTGAAAACTGGGGTAGCCTTCTTTGGGCCTGGACACCCCAATGTAGTGGAAGCTCAGAGAGTAACGTCCTGCAAAAAAAAAAACACAAAGATTCAGATGTTGGGTTCACACAGAGGAATCCCACTGTGGCACAGCAGAGGACAAGGAAGGGAGGCCTGATGGCTTGGTCACTGGGCTTCCTCCTCCCCAGGTCTCTCCACCCCTCTGCCAGCCACCCAGTATTGGAAGCTCAAGTGAGAGAATAAGCTCTACTTCTGTTCTGGAGTAGATATTTCAGAGACCATGTTGTCTTTATTACTACATTGTTTTGTCTCTTAGCACATCAGAGATAATATTTCTCAGTCTTCTTATAGGTATATTGGGACCATGACTGAGTTCTGTCAAAAAGGAATGTGAAGGGAAGTGATGTCTTTCTTCTGGTTGGAGGCCTGCAAGCTGGTTTGAACCCTTTGTCTCTCTTCTATTTAGGTGATGACTGTGGAGGCCACAGGATGAAGAGAAGGGTGCCCAAATGCAAACCACCTGGATCCTTGAGTCACCCCTGGGGGCACACAGAGTTGACTGATCAGTATGCATCTTTACATGAGGAAGAAATAAACATTTGTTGAGTTAAGCCACAAAAAACTCTCTTTGTCACTGGAGCATTACCTAGTTGAACCCAACAAGGATACACACTTAGAAAGTGTGGAAAGGAGAATTGACTAGAAACCTCAGGAAATGACCTGGAATGGGTCAGCATAAGGCAAGGGCAGAATGGATCTCAGGATTGCCTGGGCTGTTGCTGCATTTTGGTATGAAGCAGGGACAGAGAGAGGGGTGGGGCATTTCAATAATTAAGTCCATAATGAATTCATGATATCACTCATGAATTAGTAACCCTCTCATGGGTGTTACTAATGTGGAGGTCATATGGTAGATTCTTCTTTCTAGGACTGAAGTTATTTTTGTTAACTAGTTTCTAATTGCTATTATCATTTCTTTGGTAGGCATCAAGTGAAGCAGATTATACTCCATAGTGTGGGTGGGCCTACTGTAATCAGTTGAAGGCTACAGGAGACAAAAAGAAATTCTGCCTCCAAACTGCCTTTGGACTTAACAGTGCAACACCATATCTTCTCTAGGTGCCCAGTGTGCTTTTCAGCCTGCCCATTTCAGACTCCCAGCCCCCACAGTGGTGTGAACCATAATCTTAAAAGAAATCTTTCTTTCTGTGTACATGTATATCATTCCTTCCATTTCTCTAAAGAACCCTGACTAAATTACATTTTGGTGTGGGATGTGATTAATAATCTAAATATGATCAATTGTTATAAAACATATATTCTGACAGCTTGTGAGTGTAATAAATTCTAAACTTGTTCCATTTAGCTTATATCATCCTAAAATTCTGTAGGGCAAAAAAAGCCTCACTACTCTGTCCTAAAATTGACCCCAGTTTTGCCTGACCTCCATCTGGCTTCTTTACTAGTCACTAGCCTTCCAGGCCCACTGTCATAGTGTCTAACTGTGGAGTGAGAGAATGCCTTTGTTTCTAGAAGCGTCCTCCAGTTAACACGCCTTTACAAGTGCTCTTTGGAGTCCTGTGTTTCTCCCTGAGAGTTAGACATGTATGTCCAGCCATTGGAAGGAGGGAGGAACAGAAATTCCACCTGTGTGGCCCCTGCTGTGTCCTGGCTAAGACACAGGACAGGTCACTTTATCTGTTTGGATCTAAGCTTTTTTTTTTAAGTTTATTTTTTGATCTAAGAGTGAAAGAGAGATTTGCTGTTCTAATTATTCATGCATTCATAGGTTGACTTTTCTGTTTGCCCTGACTAGAGATGAAACCCTCAGCCTTGGCATATTGGGCAAGGGCTATTTGGCCAGAGCATCTGGGACTTAGTTCTGTTCATTTGCCTACTAACATTTTAGATTCTAGTTATTTAAGGTTTTACTTAGCAAGAGTCCAGTGGCTCAGTACTCCTGGAAGTGTGTGAGCCAAGTTAGCTGACAGCTTCGAACACCCATTCCTATTGTAGTCTGGGAATCCTGGCTTCATCTGATGCCCTTTCCCAGCACATCTATCCTGTTCATTACTTCCCCTTGATTCTTTTTGATACCCAGCCTTTGGTTCCCAACTTACCATATTGGGTGTTTGCAAGACCCATGAGAAGCAGTAGGGACATCAGGACAGGCACCATTGTGCTCATTGTGTCTGGGTGGAAGCTACTGGACTTCCCGAAGTTCTGGTGCAGAATACTTGAGGAAACAGGTAGATATAGCTTTGGGAATGGCTGGGCTTTGAGCCCCTGCCAAGGTAAGGTGAATGCACAGGCCAGTGACAGTGCCAGGATGAGCTCCTCTCCTGGCAGTGAGAAAACAGGATATAGAGGCCAGCCAGGGCGGATGTTGTGTTCAGTGAGTCTACAGATGGTCTGCCAATGGAGGACTGAGACAGGTGATCTGAGGACTGGGGTCTTGTCACTGTTCCACTGTGTCATTCATTCCTTCTGTTGGCAGCAGCGTGTGATTACCAAACTAGGTCCATGGTGTCATGTGGCCTGTCTCCTCCTGCCCAATTTTGAGTCAGTGTTTTCCAGTCTCTCCACTGATCCTAGAAACATGGGTAAATAAATTTATTTTGTGCTTAAAGTCAGAATAGGAATCTATTTCAGCAATCGGTTTAAGATGCGACTGCCGCCGAAATTGGGAAAAGACTGTTTTTAAGCAACTGTCACTGGGGCAAATGGAGGAAGGAGAACCAGTCCTGGTAATGAGACCATACATGAGATAAAGGCAGTAAAAATACAATATCTTGGGCACATTCTTGCAGGCCATGATCAGCAGTGGAAGGTCAAACAGCTGACTGAGTCATGTTTTTTTTTTTTCAACTAGAATAAAAAGATCAGTGAAGTCAAATGTTTAAGTCCCAGGAGGCTTCTACCACAGAATAGTGTGAAGGACCTGTAGACTTCAAGAAGAAGGTTTGGGATGGTTGAGTTTATAAGTGCTTGCAAGTCCAAAGAAAAAGACAATCAACTCAAAAGCAAAATGGCCAAATCAAAGCACAGTCTGAAAACCAGGCAATTTCTATTGCCTATTGGACAATAGAAATTGTCCAATTTCTATTGACAGTGGAGAATAATTCTTTTTTCTTCTATTTGCAAGGATGAGACAGATGTAACCATAATAATGCCTAATGATTAAAACCTAAGAAGAAAAAAAACCAGGTTTCAGAACTCCTTCGTGGACTTCAGGTCAAGATGATGGCATAGGCAGACATAGCTGGCCTTTTTTTGTGTGGCACAACCACCACAAAAGAACAACTAAATTTTAGAACAACCATCACTCAGAACTGTCAGAAATGGAGTTGAACCAACTTCTGACAACTATGGAATTAGAGAAACCTCAACTATCCAGACTGGTAGGAGGTGCAAGGATGTGGAACAGGCCAGTCACACACCCATGTGTGGTGGATAAACATTTGGAATGGATATGTTGGGATCCATGAGTCCCAGATGCACACCAGGACCCCAGGCCAGGATTCCAGTGTCAGGAAGATAAGTCCTCACAACTTCTGGCTGCAAAAACAAGAGGAGATTGGTGGAAGAAACTTCTGGAGCCCCAAGTAGTTTCTCTTAAGGAACTTACATTTGGACTCACCTACTAAGACTCACTCCCTCTGAGTTCCAGCACGGTGTGGAGGGTTGAAGGGCACCAGTGAAATACATGTCTAGTGTCAGGGCAAGCAGAGGCCAGTGTCCCTTTGCTGAGCTCCCCCCACCCCCCACAGAGCCAGTAGGCTAGTGCAATGTCTGAGAATCCATCAACCTGGCTAATACTGTGTGAGAGTCACATCTTGGAGATCCACAGAAGCTCTATCTCACCCAACATATGGGTCCACATAAGCTGCTTTCCCGTATGAATTGCTGGTCTTGGCTCCTAAATCCTATCCAACAAGTAACGGCAGTCTTCAGTGAGCCCTAAAGGCAGCCAAATTAGAGTCACAGCTTGGCTTCATCCGGGAATCTCCAAGCGCAGCACAAGTAGCAGCCATCTCAGATTGCTTTATAGCCCAGGAGGGTATCCCCTGGAACAACACAGGTTGGGACTACCTGGGCCTGAACCATTCAGGAAGCCCCAGCCAGCACACTTAGTGGACAGTTACAGTCCATGGTTGTAGCACTATCACCTGCCCCTGCACAGCGGATCATGCACGGAGGGCAGAAATTGGTGGTCTGTGGTCACAGGCAGTCCTTAGAGCTGACTGGCCTGGGTACATTTCTCCCATTGGTCTGCCAAGAGCAACCAAGGCTCAACTATAGAGTACACGAAGGGTGCACCTCAACTACCCAGCTTGAGTGATAGGGGAGGCTGTGGCACTGGACCCTACAGGACACTTACTTCATTGGTCCATGCTACCAAGACACAGAGTCAAAGCAGCTCTTCCTGATACATAGAAACATGCACAGGGAGGCTGCTAAATGAGGAGGCAAAGAAACATGGCCCCAGTGAAAGAAGAGATCAAAACTCCAGAGAAATAGCTCAGGGAAATGGAGATAAGCAATGCATGAGATGCAGAGTTCAAAACATTGGTTATCAGGATGCTCAAGGACCTTAGTGAGGACCTCAACAACATAAAAAAGATCCAGTCAGAAATGGGTGGATGGATACACTAATTGAAATAAAGAACATTTTACAGAGAAACAACAGTAGAGTGGATGAAGCCAACAATTAATTCAATGATGTAGAACATAAGAAAGCAAAAAACCTCAACCAATCAGGACGGCAACAATAAAAAAAAATCCCCCCAAATGAGGTTAATGTTAGCAGCCTCTGGGACAACTTCAAGAGGTCCAACATTCGCAACATAGGAATGCCAGAAGGAGAAGAGGTAAAGCAAAAAATTGGAAATCTATTTGAAAATACAGTGAAAGAAAACTTCCTTAATTTGGTGAAGGAAATAGACACCCGAGTCCAGGAAGCACAGAGTCACAAACAAAATGGATGCAAAGTGGCCCACTCCAAGACACAGCATAATTAAAATGCCAAATGGAGAATCTTTAAAGTGGCAAGAAGCTAGTTAGTCACAAGGGAGTTCACATAAGGCTGTCAGCTGATTTTTCTAAAGGAACTGTGCAGGCTAGGAGGGATTAAAAAATACTCAAGGTCATGAAAAGGAGGAACCTGGAGTCAAGATTGCTCTACCTAGCCAAGCTGTCATTTAGAATGGAAGGGCAGATAAAGAGCTTCCCACACAATAGAATTCTAAGGAGTTCATCATCACCAAACCATTATTATATGAAATGTTCAAGAGACTTAGCTAAGAAAAATAAGATCAAGACTAGAAACAATAAAATGGCAAAAAATATATACCTGTCAACAATTGGATCTGAACAACAAACTAAGGAAACAAGAAGAACAGAGACAGAATCATGGATATGGAGAGCATTTTGGTGGTTACCAGATGGTAGGCAGGTGGGCGAGAATGGGTGAAGAGGTTACGAGATTAAGAAGTAGAAACAGGCAGTTAGAGAATAATCATGGAGCTGCACAGAAGAGTAAAGGCGATGGAGTAGCCAAAGAACTTATACATGTGATCAATGGATATGAACAATGGTGGGGGACTGCCTGAGGGATTTGAGGGTGCTGGGTGGAGGGGGTAAAGGGGGAAAATCAGGACAACTGTAATGGCACAATCAATAAAATATAATGCAAAAAATAATAAAAAAGAACCAACCATAAAGCCTCAAAGGTATAATGGTCAAGTGTGATCAAGACCTTCCTACAAATCTTGTACGATCAGTACAAATGATGGGTGCCTACAGAGGCTTCATTGGAGAGGGGACTGAAGTGTGGCATGGCATCGGGTAAGGCTTCATGAGAGATGTGGTTGAACAGGGTATTGGGAAGGGATAGAATTTCTGTTGGCAAAAGGGGCAAATTTTAGAAGGACACTGATGGTGTTTGCCATGTTCATTTTTCTGTCCCTTGTACTTAGCCCAGTGAGTGGCAGAAAGGAGACAATCAATAAACACTTATGAAAATAGGTGAGTGCCTCACTACATAATAGTCTCATCAAGACAAAAAAAAAATGGCCCAAACGAAAGAACAGATTGAAGTTCCAGAACACATACAACTAAGCAACAGGGAGATAGCTAACCTATCAGATGCACAGTTCAAAGCACTGGTGATCAGAATGCTCACAGAATTTGTTGAATTTGGTCGCAAATTAGATGAAAAAAAATGAAGGCTATGCTAAGTGAAATAAATGGAAATGTACAGGGAACCAATAGTGATGAGAAGAAAACTGGGACTCAAATCAATGGAGCGGACCAGAAGGAAGAAAGAAACAACCGAACAGAAAAGAATGAAGAGACAAGAATTCAGAAAAATGAGGAGAGGCTCAGGAACTTCCAGGACACCTTTAAACATTCCAACATCTGAATTATAGGGGGTACCAGAAGGGGAATAGAAAGAGCAATAAGTGGAAAACTTATTTGAACAAATAATAGAGAACTTCCCCAATCTGACTAAGGAAATAGACTTCCAGGAAGTCCAGGAAGCTCAGAGAGTCCCAAAGAAGTTGGACCCAAGAAGGAACACACCCAGGCACATAATAAATACATTAGCTAAGATTAAAATGAAGGACAGAATCCTAGAAAAAGCAAGAGATAAGGAGACAGTTACCTACACAGAAGTTCTCATCAGATGTCAGCTGATTTCTCAAAAGAGACCTTGCAAGCAAGAAGGGGCTGGAAAGAGGTATTCCAAGTCATGAAAGGCAAGGACCTCCATGCAAGATTGCTCTATGCAGCAAAGCTCTCATTTAGAATGGAAAGGCAGATAAAGTGCTTCTCAGATAAGGTCAAGCTAAAGGAGTTCATCATCACCAAGCCCTTATTATATGAAATGTTAAAGGGACTTATCAAAGAAAAAGATAAAATACATGTATAGTAAAAGGACAGCAAACTCACAATTATTAACAACCACACCTGAAACAAAAACAATCTAAGCAAACATCTAGAAGAGGAACAGAACCACAAGAGTAGAGATCACACGGAAAGTCAGCAAGAGAGGAGTGGGAGGGGCAGAAGGGGGAAAAGGTACAGAGAATAAGTAGATAGATGGTAGGTAGAAAATAGAGGGAGGGCAAGAATAGTGTGGGAAATGTAGAAGCTGAAGAACTTATAAGTATGACATGGGAGTGGGTGTGCAGAGTGGAGGGGAGTGAAGGGGGAAATGGGACAACTGTAATAGCATAATCAATAAAATATATTAAAAACAGGTGAGTGGATACATGAGCAGAGATGAAAAATAGACAATACCAGACTGATCTGTGAGGGTCACTGAGGACAATTAGGTGGAAACAGAGTTTAGGGAAAATTTGAGGAACAGAAAAGGTGGGGTGATAAAATAAAAAGGAAATTGGAGGTGAAATCTGTAGAGCTCTCATTCAATGAGCATCCCAATGTCTTCCAGTGGATAAGGCACATTTCGCTCTTGAGTCTTTTCTTTCTGTTGCAGGCTGCCTTCCCTGCAAACCCCATCCACTGGGTCAGCAGTTTTTAGCCTTTACTGCATTTCCCCCTTGACAGTTATTCTCAAAGTACCTTTTGTTTTAAATATTGTTAGAAGTTATCAACTACTTGATTAATTAATTAATCCATTTATTTACTTTCAGAATAATTTTAAATGCACAAATGAAAACACGTGGGATACAGAGGAAACCTGGAAACGCACATCTTTTCTAGTTCCCTTGCTGGCCAACGGGCTGTTGCAGTCCCTCCTCCCCCTTAACAGAGCAACATGCTATTTTCAAGTGACTGGAATTGTTAAGAGGGAGATAATTTGTGGTGATGAGGCCTTCCTGGGCTGTGGCATCCTGAAATTGTAGGTGAACTTGGTCCTGCCTGCAGAGGAGTCTCTTGGTGATTTCAGCTGAGTGGGCAGAAGGTGACCATGGATGGACTCACATTTGATTCTCTGGAGTTCTGCATCTGCCTTGATGTGACCAGTCAATGCCAATGGCTGGATCCCAAATTCAGGTGGGATCCCTGTTAGGACATTGTGATCTTCCCCTTTCAGGTGTCTGGCACCCTCCTGCTGAGCAGCAATCTTTCTATCTCTTCCTGGAAAGTGTCTGAGGCTCTCACTCCTCCTCGGGAAATCTGAACCCCTCTAGGAAGTTTCTCTGGGTGTGTTAAGTGGCCCTATGCCCCGCCCCTCCCCTGCACCTGGCCAGAACCCTGGTCTTCTGAGGGTCTCTCTCTCTCTCAGCCAGGTGGGCCCCAGCCCTCCTGTCACAGGTGAGGTGCGACCTCACATTGCAATCTCCATTGGCCCTGCCCTGTTTGTGTGGATTCGGGGTTCCCCACTGATCTGAGATTTTTCTCCTCATATGTATTTTATGTATTTTTTCCAGGGTCATACTGCTTTGAAACATCAGTTGCTACATTGTGGCCCCTTGACCCTGCATTGTGTTCCCTGCAGATCTCCTGATTTCAGACAGGACATCTCTTTGCCCTAGAGGAGGCGAATGTGGATTTCACATGGACAAAAGAAGCTATTTCTCAGCTTTGATTTTGAAGTTGGATTGAAGTGTCATAGTGCACTAAAAAAAAAATAGTCCTTACATTGAAGCTTTTGAGAAACGTAAAGAGAGTTGGCTCAGCATTCTGAAGGCTGGGAATGATTTCTAACAGGAACTTAGCTTGGAGGGTTGAATTTGGAGTAATCCCAAGCAGGATGTGATTAGCATTCCAAATGTGATCAAAGTTACACACCCAACATAGAGTGCATATTCTGACAGTTTGTGAGTATAATGAATTCTAAACTTGCACAGTCTCGCTTACATTTCTTCATCCCGAGATTTTGTGTGCCAAAAATAAACAGCCTCATTTCCCTGTGTAAGAACTGACTCTGGTTCTTCCCAAGCTCCAGCAGGCTTTTATCTTGCTCACCTGAAAGTTTCCTTTCAGGCCCACTATGGAGTGAGGGAACAGGTTTCCTTCTAGAATCATCCATAGAGTTAACCTGCCTTCACCTCTGTCCCTTGGGGTTGCTGTCTCTCTCCCTGAGGGTCAGACAAGTACATCCAGACTTCAGGAGGAGGGAAGGAACAGAAAGTTGCCCCTGTGTGGCCCCTGGTCTGTCCTGGCTGGGTTTCCTGGATAAGTTCTCTTGTATATCTGGGTCTTGGCTTTGTTCATCTGTGCAATAAGGGTTTTTAAAATTCCGATTCTTTAATTTCTGCTTTAGCATGAGTCCACAGACTCCCTGAATAGAAGAGTGTGAGCTGAGTTAGTTGAGAACCTCAAACACCCATTCCTACTGCACTCTGAGAATTCCAGCTTCATCAGGGCTCTTCTCCCATCAATCCCATTCATCACTGCCCCTCTGTGTTTCTCCACACTCAGTAGTTTGGGTCTCAAGGGGCACTTGAGGATGCTGAAGGAGCAGTAGGAATGGCAGGACAGACACCCTGGAGTTTATGGTTCCTGGCTGGAAAGTTCTGGACTTCTTCAGATCCAGGAAGTTGGAACATAGTACTTGTAGATAGCCCCAGGTATAGCTTTGGGAATGGCTGGGCTTTGAGCCCCATCCAGGAGAGGAGAATGCACAGGCTAGTGGGAACGCCAAGAGAGGCTCCTCTCCTGGCAGTGAGAAAACAGGACACAGAGGCCAGCCAGGGCGGATGCTGTCTTCAATGAGTCTACAGGTGGTCTGCCAAGGGAGAGCTGAGACAGGTGATCTGAGGACTGGGGCCTTGTCATTGTTCCACTGTGTCATTCATTCCTTCTGTTGGCAGCAGTGTGTGATTACCAAACTAGTTCCATGGTGTGATGTGGCCTGTTCTCCTCCTGCCCAATTCCAAGTCTGGGTTTTGCAATGTCTCCACTGATTCTAGAAGCATGGGTAAATAAATTTATTTTGTGCTTAAAGTTAGAATAGGAATCTGTTGCAGCAACTGGTTAAAGATGAGACTGCTACTACTGCAATTGGGAAAGGACTATTTTTAAGCAGGATTTGCTCAGGGAAATGAAGGGATGGGTACATGTCTTGGTTGTTTGGCCATATTGGAGCTGAAGGCAGTGAAAACACAGATGTCTTGGGGAGGTCCTTACAGGCCTTGATGTGCAGTGGAGGGTTGAACAACTGATTTAGTTACGTCTTGTCATCAACTAAAATGTAATGCTCGTTGAAGGGAAGATGTTTGTTCATGCCAGGCTGCTACTTAGTGGACTGTGTGAAGGACTTAAAAATTCAGACTAAATCTGAGATGTGTGAGTCTGTTACTGCTGGAAAGATGAAAGAAAAATACAATAAACTGACAGTCAGAAATGATTGATTCAGAGCACATGCTGAAGACCAGGCAATTTCGATGATAGTGCAGAGAGAATACTTTGTTTCTTCTTGCTGCAAAGATAAAATGGATGGAACTTAATAAGCCTCATGATTAAAAGCTAGGAACAAAACTTAAGTTAACCACAACAATCTAAAAGGTTTAATAACCAATTATAATCAAGACATTTCTAGAAATTTTGTAATTAGTATTAAAGTTGGGTGTCCACATGAGTTTCATTGAAGAAGGAATTTGAGTGTTAGGTGGCACTGGGAATGGCTTCATGGGAGCAGTTGAGGTTGAGCAGGATGTGTAGCAGCAATGGGACTTCAGTTGGCATAGCAGGGAGACTTCATAAGGACAGCGATGGTGTGTGTTACGTTCATTTCTCTGTCCCTAGTGCTTAGCCTAGTGCCTGGCAGAAAGAAGACCACGAATTAACACTTAGAAAAATAGGTCAATGGATAGATGAGCAAAGGCCAAAATGGATAGCATCAGAGGTCCATTGAGGCCAATTTAGGGTTAATGGAGGTCAGGAGGAAGATGGAGAGGATTGGCTGATGGGGTGATAGATATTCAAAAGGGATATTAGAGTTCCCCCAACCCCACCCAATGAACAGGCAATATCTTCCAATGAATGAACCATGTTCCATTATTGCATCTTTTTTCTCACAGCCTCTATTCTCTGCATATCCCTTTCCTCTACTTCAACATTTCTTAGCCTTTGGTGCTATCTATTCCTTTGCCAAGACAATTTTTTCCCTTCAGCTCTAGAAGTTATTTATTCTTTTTCTTTTTCCTTGAAGGATCACTTTTTTTTCTCTTTTGCATGGACGGACTAGAGAATGTCATGGTAAGTGAAATAAGCAGGTCAGAGAAAGACAAGTGTCATAGATCTCACTTACTGGTGGAAGGTAATGGACAAACTGGACTAACAAGTGAAACAGAGACAGACTCATAGACACAGGAGGCTGACAACTCTGATGGTGGGATGGAGGGTAAAGGGATTGAGCAAAAAAGGAAAAAAGGAGAAAGAACTCATGGACACAGACCACAGTGTGATGACTGCAGGCAGGAGGGGGTGGGGACAGGTGAAAGAGAGTATAGGGGGAGAAATGGTAATGGAAAAAATAAAGTAAAATAAATATGAAAATGATGATTTTCCATGCATTACATAAAACACAGATTAAAGAGAAGCTAGCTATATGGAAACACAGGCTTCTCCATGTACCTTTGGGGGCTAGTGAGCTGTTTGCAGTGGGGCCCCTGATACAGAGCCACATGCTTTCCTAAAGAGACTGAGGAATTGTTAAGAAGGAGAGAATTTGGCAAGGGGGCCCTGCTGGGGTGGGGCTTCCTGAAATTGCACTCAAAATTGTCCTATGGTAGCTGAGCAAGAACTGAAAAATTGATCTAACTCTTGAGCTTGTGTAAGAAATCCACGATTTTCTACTGAGGAAGCATCTATGAGGAGGCATCTCTGTTCACCTATAGCCTTGTCGTCACACCCCGTTAGGGTCACCTTCCAGGACAGGTAGTGGGAAGAGGCACACTTTGGTGACTAGCAGTCTCTTGCAATATCTGTCCCCATTCAAGGATGGTCAAGAGAAAAGAAATATGGTCCTTTTAAAATATCACAAATTCCTTAGAGAATGTCAGTTGGCAATGGAATCTCAGAAAAGCACAGCTCGAGAAGATTTACTTTGTTAAAAGAAAATGATGAGCCCTGGCTGGTGTAGCTCAGTCGATTGAGTGCTGGCCTGTGAACTGAAAGGTTGCTGGTTCAATTCCCAGTCAGGGCACATGCCTGGGTTGTGGGCCAGGTTCCCAGCTGGGGGTGTGGGAGAGACAATGGGTCAATATATCTCTTGCACATCATTGTTTCTCTCCTTCTCTTCCCCACTCTCTGAAAATAAATAAATAAAATCTTTTTAAAACATGAAAAATTTGGAAGACATCGAGCACTGTAAAAACACAATAGGATATATGTCATACACATAGGAACCAAAAAGGAAATTTGGGCTTTGGTGCAGGCAGACATAGATAGGTAGTCTGGATGAAATTTTTAAAAAGCAAGTTTACACAGGAGGTAAGAACAGTAGTTAAATCCATCTCGAAGACAGTAAAGAGCTGAAAGAACAGTAAATAAATTGTTCAGTTTCTTCATTTTCTTTCCCATTCCATGAAGAATGAAAAACAAAAGTGAGAAGCTCTGCAAGTGACGCAGGAGGTAGAGGCTGAAAACGGCCCAGCTGTCATTGACAGGGCAGGGATGGTTCCCAGTGTGAAAGGAAACCTATACTTCTGCTTGGAGGATAGTGAGGTGAGGGTTACTCTGGCCAGCAAGGTCCCTGGGGCCGCGGTAGATGGAATTGAAGAATCGTGTGGATCCAGAGACACATAAAAAGATGCTCAATATCACTAACTGTCAGAGAGATGCAAATTAAAACCACAATGAGATACCACTTTACACCAGTCAGAATGGCCATCATAAACAAAGAAACAAACAACAAGTGTTGGAGAGGTTGTGGGGAAAAGGGGACCCTAGTTCACTGTTGGTGGGATTGCATACTGGCACAACCAGTATGGATGACAGTATGTAATTTTCTAAGAAAACAAAAAAATGGATCTGCCTTTTGACCCAGCAATTCCAGTGCTAGGATTATATCCTAAGAGCCTTGAAACACCAGTCCAAAAGAACCTATGCACCCCAATGTTCATAGCAGCACAATTTACAATAGACAAGTGTTGGAAGCAACCTAGGTCCCCATCAGTAAATGAATGGATCAAAAGACTATGGTACATTTATACAATGGAATTCTATGCAGCAGAAAGAAAGAAGGAGCTCCTATCCTTTGTGAAAGCATGTATGGAACTGGAAAGCATTATGCTGAGTGAAATAAGCCAGGTGGTGAAAGACAAATACCATATGATCTCACCTTTAACAGGAACCTAAACAACAAAACAAACAAACAAGCAAAATATAATAAAAAACACTACAATAGAGAACATGCTGACAGTGACCAAGGGGAGAGAAAGATAATTTAAGAGGAAATGGGGAAGGGTTTGCAGGAACCCTTCAAATATAAAGGACACATGGACAAAAATAAGGGGGGGGTGGATATTGGAGGGAGGTGGGAGGGCTGGGGGGGTAGACTGGGATGGGAGTAAAAAACAGAAAACTGTACTTGAACAACATTAAAATAAAAAAAGCAGTGTTCATCAAAATGACAAAAGCATTGGCAAAAAATATTTTCAGGTCTTATATCCATTAGTGTTCCCTGCTTGATTCAGAGTACTGCATCCCTGCAGTCTAGCTGGTGAACAATCCCCAGAAGAATCCTCTAAGGAGAGGGAAGATATCTAATCCCGAGAGACTGAAGAATTGTTAAGGTAATTTGTGGCACCAAGGCAGACAAAAAGAGTCACATCTATGAGTTCTGCTTTGGTTTTCTTATTTTGGTTTTTGTTTTGTTAGTTTAGTTTTCATTTGGCTTAGATCTGTGCATGTTGGTAGGTGACTCAGTTAAACACACACACACACACACACACACACACACACACTCACTCACTCACTCAAAATTGTTTGGAAGAAGTCCAAGAATATCAGAGTGATTCTTACTCCTTTGGGAGTGTATCCTGGAGGAAGGAAACCTCCCAGGTAAGCAATGGGGGAGTGTGGCCCTGAGGTCACGGTGGTGTGGGATTGGTGGGATAGCTGGAGTGGAAGGGAGTCTCACAGGGTGGCAAGCAAATGCAGGGGAATCTGAGGTAGAGAGTAGGCTTCAGGTTGTATTAAAGAGGTTGCAGAGTTGTGTGACCTTCCAAGCAGAGGGGACCTCAGCCGTGAGCACCTAAACAGTGCTCATGGTATCTGGTGGCCAGGACACACTAGAGTGGGGACCCCTGGTCAAGATGGCCAGGACATACTGCTTCCAGTGGATACCAACAATTCCAGATGATTCAAATGCTTGGGGGCAGGACGAATGATAACCTCTGCTGAAGTTTCTATAGCATTTAACAGTTGAACAACCTGATTTTTATTTGCATATAGGCTAGTTGATTAGTGTAGAAAGGTGCTGATACAATTTCAGAGATCAGATAATGGGTTCTGAGGGGGAATGTAGCAGTGAGTCAGCACAGTGCCCAGCATGCAAACCTCATGTATCCAAATCCACCACCTGTGTGTCCCCTTCACTGCTTCTCTGGGCCCTGTTGATGGTGATGACAGTCATTTTCCAGCTCACCTCTCTCCTGTCCCAAAGGACAGACAGGTGGTTACTGGTCTGTAGACTAGGAGGCACTTTCAGCCCCTGATTCCTGCCCCTCACTCATTCCATTGGACAGTGAGGGTCTGGGCCAGGCTGCTGTGTTGCACATGGCAGAAGTAGGGGCCTGTGTCTGAAGAGGGGACTTTCACTGTCACCCAGGAGTGGTAAGTGCCATCTTCATTAAGAACAATGTCTCCCCATTCATCAGTCTCCAGTGGGTCATCTGCCTGAGTCCAGTACATACTGACTGGTCTTGGGTAGAAGTTGTAGGCTATGCACTTGAGAGTCTTGATGTTTCCTGGGCCCTCCTGGCTGGTGAATGACACAGAGGGAGCATCTGTGGAGAGATACAATGGAGTGAGGGTCTGAAGGTGACGTTTCCCTGCTCAGTGCCTCCTCAAGGAAACTTGGAGAAGATCAGGGAAGCTGAGGCTTTCCATGAGCTTTCCTTGTGGGATAATGGAATGTCCCTGGCCACGTTCTTGCCTCCCAGCAGCCCCCCTTTCTACCCACTGTGTGCTGACTTCTGATGCAAAGAAACTGCGTGCCTTGTGGTGCCTGTCACCCACTGTCTGAGCCCTGCTCCTAATTTCTGTCTGCTGCTGTGCCATTGGGACCCTGCCCTGTGTCCATAGGACCCTCTTTCTCATTACTTGTCACTAAGTCTCAGCCTGTGACAATCAATCCTGCTCACACTTAGTCACCTTCATCCTTCCTGGGCAGACATTTTACACACCACAGTGAAGCCAGGAGGCATATCAGAGAGAGAAATGACTACAGGATTTGCCTGAAAAGTTCCTTTGAGCTCCCAGCCTGGGATCACCTTGATCTTTCTCAGCTCAGTGTGGGGGAGCAGTACATAGAGAGCACTGGGTACCTTGACGGTCCAGGAATGTCTTGCTGTATTGCAGGTAATTCCGCAGCATCTGGGGGCACTCCTGCTCCAGGTAGGCCTTGGCTGCTTGCACAGAGCCTTCTGTCTCCCACTTTAACTTGGTTTTCAGAGCTACTGGATGCAGGGGTATCCAAGCTGGGATTTCTGTGTTAAACTCAATATAGTCCTGGCCATCGTAGGCAGTCTTCCAGAATGCCCTGCAGTAGCTGTTATTTCGGATTTCACAACTAATCTCTTCTTGCATGATGTGACTTCCTGCATTCACCCAGACACCCCAGAAATCTGTCAACTTGGCATCAACTCTATTTTAATAACTCTTACTTTGCACAGTTTACAACCCAATAGGAAGATGGGTTTTGAAATCTGAACATTTACCCCTTTTATCTAGGCAATTAGGTTCTTAGCTAGACATAGAGCAGGCAGAGAGTGGGAAATTGAGTATGCTTTGGTGTTTTAGGCCAGTCTGAGATGAGACACCTTTTTCCCAGCAAGGGAACTTCAGAGAGCTATAGGCCATGGACAGACTTCCTGGGCCTATGTGGCTTCTCTTTAAATGAACTTTGTTTCACTATAGTGTGAGGTCTTGGAAATTGGACACTAACACACCAAAGTGCACTGACCAGTTAAATAAAAATTTTTGGATTTTAAAAGAGATTGTGTAATCTGTCCTTTTCCCCTGTTGTACCTGGCGTTAATGTCTCCAATTGAGTCAACATTAGTTGATCAGTTCTTTTCTCTATTGTGGTTTTTGATATTTTTATTACAAAGCTTTAATACCAGCCCCCTTTCCCAATTAGCAACACTTCTTCAGCCTACTTAGGAAAGGGGGACCAAACTGCTTTACTTTGATTATGAAAGTAGTTATTTACCCAATACTGATTAGTGCACAGACTCTGATCTCAAGTTGTCTGGGCTCAAATCCTAGATCTGTCTCCACTCTTACCTGGCCTGTTGCATAAACTTCAGCCATTAACCTGGTTTGCTTCCATTTTCCCATTTCTAAAATGGCACTGGCAATAGCAGTATGTAGAGGGTTATTGTGATCATTGCATGTGTCATTACATGTGCTGAGCACATAGTGGTCAATGAAGGTCAGGTCTTATCATTTCCTAATACCCTTGTGTTCATCTCTTTATCCTCTTTGCTCATGGTTACTCACATCAACATTTCTACTCCAGTCAATCAGGCTTTGTTTCAGTGTCCTTCCCGGACACCTGTGCCACTCCCTTTCCTATTTCCGAGCACGACTCAGGCTGTTTTCTCACAAGGGCATCCCATTCCACATCCTACAGGCTTCTGAGTAACATTTGCCTCCTTTTGAAAACTTTCATATTTCATGTAACTTCTTGGGTATTTTTATACTCAGAAAGCCATCTTTTGACACTTACCCTGTAACAATTTAAAATCACCAGTTCACGAGGCCAGTGATTGTCTGGCTTGGAGGTTAGGCAGTGTGTGTCAGGAGAGAGTGCTGGGCTGGGAAACTAGTCTCTGTGCTCCACTCTGCACTGGCTCCTCACACCTCAATTCTGATGACCCCTCCACCCAAGTCTCCTCATTATGAACAGGAGGGTCTTTATGACTTTATGGAACTTTAACAGCTTGTGGTTTTCAATTCAATCCTTCCTGAGCTGCTAGTTTGAGCCATAGTTCATACTGAATACTTTCAATAATTCAGCATATTCATTGTCTGTCTTAGGTTATGGGGCTCCATGGGAGTTGAGCCAGGCTATATTCTAGCTTTCATGGAATTTGCCTAGATAAATTTTATGGAATCTCTTGGAGGCAGGACTCAATGTCCCAGTTTTTGCAGATTCAGACCAGATAATTAAGTGCAAGCTCACTGTCAAACAGCTAGTGAATGGCAGAGTCAGCACCTGAACCCTGGTGAGAATAACCCCAAGGTTAACTCACTTCCCATCTAGCATCCTTGCATGGAGGTGAGTCGAGACCTTCTAAAGTGGGATCGACCTTAGACAGGTGGAGGCGTGGAACTGAGAGGTCAGATGTACCTCAATAAAGGCTGATACTGCCTTGACCAGTGTGACTCAGTTGGTTAGAGCAATGTTTTATAACCTGAAAGGCTGTGTGTTGGATCCCTGGTGGGGGCATGTACAAGAGGCAGCCTATCGATGTTTCTCTCTCACATCGATGCTTCTCTCCCTTTGTATCTCTCACTTTCTTTCTCTCTCAAAGCAATTAAAAATGGTGGGGATAAAAAAATAATAAAAAAGGCTCATGTTGACTTCAGTTGATGTGAGGTTGAGGTCTGGGAGTGAGGATGGGGAAAGTAACAATGAACTAGGAAAACCCAGGTGTGTTGTGGGGGACAGGTATGCAGAAGTGCCTGTGTATCTCTGAATGTGCTACTGGCTCCTCCTATGGCATGACAGTCCAGCCTGCAGACTCGGTTCCACTCACAACTGCAGAGCTGCCTCTTTAGCTAAGACCTTCTACCCCAGCAGTCCATAAGTCACTTACCTGTGTCCTTGTAATAGTCCATGATTTCTTCCAGGTTCTTCAGAAAGAAGTCCCCCCTGGCCTTCTGACGTTTACTTACTTCCTCCCAGTCCTCCATTCCTTCTATTTGTTTCCATGGGCCCAGGGGCTCAGCCTTTCCACTTTCATGATCATAGTGGAAGAAGGCCTGGTCATTGAGGTAGCCAGTGGCCTGAAAACTGGGGTAGCCTGCCTTGGGCCCAGACATTCCAATGGAATGGAAGGTCAGAGAATAAGGCCCTGCAAAGGAGGAGAAAAGATTCAGATGTGGGGTTCACACAGAGGAATCCCACCGTGGCACAACAGAGGACAAGGAAGGGAGGCCTGGTCCCTGGGCTTCCTCCTCCCCAGGTCTCTCCACTCCACTGTCAGCCACCCACTATTGGAAGCTGAAAGAATGGGCTCTACTTCTATTCTGGGGATGATATTTCAGAGACCATATTGTCTCTATTACTACATTGTCTCTTAGCACATCAGAGATAATATTTCTCAGTCTTCTTGTAGGTATATTGGGACCATGACTGAGTTCTGTCAAAAAGGAATGTGAGGGGAAGTGATGTCTTTCTTCTGGTTGGAGGCCTGCAAGCTGGTTTGAACCCTTTGTCTCTCTTCTATTTAGGTGATGACTGTGGAGGCCACAGGATGAAGAGAAGGGTCCCCAAATGCAAACCACCTGGATCCTTGAGTCACCCCTGGGAGCACAAAAACTTGCCTGATCAGTATTCATTTTTACATGAGCAAGAAATAAACATTTGTTGAGTTAAGCCACTAAAAACTGTCCTTGTCACTGGAACATTATCTAGTTGAACATGACAAATACATATAGTTAGAAAGTGTAGGAAGGAGAATTGACTAGAAACCCCAGGAAATGACCTGGAATGGATTAACATAAAGTAAGAATAAGTTGAAGTTCAGATAGGCCAGGGCTGCCCCTGCTTCTGTCTTTTTTTTTTAGGAGAGTCCCTGAAATTTTGTGTGAGTAAGGGAGTTGTATATGATTGGAGCATTTTCTTTCTTTTTTTAAATGTATTTTAAAAAAATTGTATTGATTATGCCATTACATTTGTTCTATTTCCCCCCTCCGTTCCCCTCTACCCTGCACACCCCTCTCCCATGATTCCCCTCCTTTAGTTCATGAACACGTGTCTCAAGTTCTTTAGATTCTATATTTCCCCTACTATTCTTACCCTCCCCCCTATCTATTTTCTATCTACTGTCTATGCTACTTATTTTCTGTACCTTCTCCCCCCTTCTCCTTCTCCCACTCCCCTGTTGCTAACCTTCCACATGATCTTCATTTCTATGGTTCACTCCTGATCTAGCTGTCCTCTTAATTTGCTTTTGTTTTAGGTGTGGTTGTTGATAACTGAGTTTGCTGTCCTTTCACTGTTTATCTTTTTTATCTTCTTTTTCTTAGGTAAGTCCCTTTAACATTTCATATAATAAGGGCTTGGTGATGATGAACTCCTTGAATTTGATCTTATCTGAGAAGCACTTTATCTGCCCTTCCATTCTAAATGAAAGCTTTGCTGGATAGAGCAATCTTGGATGTAGGTCTTTGGCTTTCATGACTTGGAATATTTCTTTCTAGCCCCTTCTTGCCTGTAAGGTGTCTTTTGAGAAATCTGCTGACAGTCTGATGGGAACTCCTTTGTAGGTGACTGTCCCCTTATCTCTTGCTGCTTCTAGGATTCTCTCCTTCATTTTAATCTTGGGTTATGTAATTATGATGTGCCTTGGTGTGTTCCTTCTTGGGTCCAACTTCTTTGAGACTCTCTGAGCTTCCCGGATTTCCTGGAAGTCTATTTTCTTTGCCAGAATGGGAAAGTTCTCTTTTATTATTTGTTCAAATAAGGTTTCCCTTCATGACTGTTCCTCTTCCCCTTCTGGTACCCCTATAATTCGAATGTTGGAGCGTTTAAAGATGTCCTGGAGGTTTCTAAGCCTCTCCTCATTTTTTTGAATTCTTGTTTTTTCATTCTTTTCTGTTTGGTCATTTTTTCTTTCCTTCTTGTCTATTCCCTTGGTTTGAGTCCCAGTTTTCTTTTCATTACTATTGGTTTCCTGTGCATTTCCATTCATTTCAATTAGTTTAGCCTTCATATATTCCTCTAATTTGTGACTAAAATCAACCAGTTCTGTGAGCATCCTGATCACGAGTGTTTTGAACTGTGCATCTGAAAGTTTGGCTATTTCTTCATCACTTAGATTTATGGGCTCTGGGGCTCTGAGTTGTTCTTGAGCCATGTTTTTATCTGTTTGTGCCTGTTATGTATGAGGAGAGGCACCTTAGGAGTTCACCAAGGTAGGGACGCCCAAGTCGTTGGTTTGTGATGCTGTATGTGGGGGCGGGGGTCAGAGAGGGAGCAATGGCAGTCCTCTCCACTCACCCTGTCCGGTCCACCTCACTGCTCACCCCCGCCTGTTTATCTGAGTGCAAATGTGCGAGTCCACTGCCCTGCGCCAGGGCCTGTGCAGTCTGTCTCAATACTGTCTCTTCACTGGTTTATCTGTGCACAAATGTGCAACCCCAGACAGCCAGCTGTGCTGCACCTTCCCTGGGTCCACTCATAGCTACCCCACACCTGGGATCCGCGCTCTCGGCTGCCTGTGCGCCTCCCGGGTTGGGGAATGGTTTTTGCCTGACCCGCTCTGCTGCTGGCTTCACCCCTCTCACAGGTTTAGCTGAGCAGTTTGTTGTTTTTGGACTCCATATTGTTCTATTTTCTGTGGTTTGATTGCATTTATTGTTGTTAAAACTTTATTATTTTTAGATTTGTTTGTGCGAGGAAGCAAAGTGTTTCCACATACGCCTCCATCTTGGTGGAAGTCTGGTTGGAGCATTTTCATAATTAATTTCAAAAGTTGCCTGACAGAACTCTCATAGGTGGTACCAATGTTATAGGTCATACAGCAGATTTCCAGTTCTACTACTGAAGTTAATCTCTTAGTTTCTGAATATGATTATAATTTCACTTAGTAGATATCGATGAAGCAGGTTCCAGTTTGTAATGTGGGCGAGCCTCCTCTAATCAGTTGAAGACCACAAGAGAAGAGACTGAAGTGTCCAGAAGAAGAAGGAATTCTGCCTCCAGACTGCCTTTGGACTGAATACTGCAACACCATATCTTCTCTAGGTCCCCAGTGTGCTTATTAGCTCGAAGATTTCAGACTTCCTGCCCCCACAGTGGTGTGAGCCATAACCTTAAAACAGTCTCTCTTTCTATGCACATATATATCGTTCTAAAGAACCCTGACTAAATTAAATTTTGGTGTAGGATGTGATTAGTAATCTAAATATGATCAGCTGTTATAAAACATGTATTCTGACAGCTTGTGAATGTAATAAATTCTAAACTTGTTCCATTTAGCTTATATCATCCCGAAATTTTGTAGGAAAAAAAAAAACACCTAACTACTCTGTCTTAAAATTGACCCTAGTTCTGCCCGATCTCCATCTGACTTCGGTCCCAGTCACTAGCCTTCCAGACCCACTGTTGTAGTGACTAACTGTGGAGTGAGAGAATGCTTTTGTTTCTAGAAGCACCCTTCAGTTAACATGCTAATGTGCTTTTACAAATGCTCTTTGGAGTTGCTGTATTTATTTCTGAGAGACAGACAAGTGTGTCTAGCCATTGGAAGGAGGGAGGAACAGAAAGTTCCAGCTGTGTGGCCCCTGCCCTGTCTTGGCTGTGACCTAGGACAGGTCACTTCACTTGTCCAGGCCTTAGTTTTGTTCATTTGCCTCCTAAGAATTTTTAATTTCAATTATTTAAGGTCTTACTTAATATGGATCCAGAGGGTCTCTAAATTGCTTCTAGAAGCATGTGAGCTGAGTTAGCTGACAGCCTGGAACACCCATTCCTACCATATACTAGGAATCCTGGTTTCATCTGGGTCCCTCTCCCAGCCCATCTATGCTGTTCATTACTTACACTCTGTTCTCCTCCATACCCAGCCCTTGCTTCCCAACTTACCATCTTGGGTTTCCTGTGGGACTGCAGGACCCAGAACAAGCAGTAGAGACAGCAGGAAAGGCAACATCATGCTCGTTGTATCTGAGTGAAAGGTTCTGAACTTCTCATGTCCTGAAGCTGATTACTTGGAAGGAATGCCAGGTGTAGTTTCAGAAATGGCTGGGTTTTGATCCCCTCTCTGGTGAGGTGCCAGGATGGACTCCTTTCCTGACTGTGGCAAAACAGGATAAACAGGGCAGGCCAGGTTGGTTGGTTTTCTCAATAAGTCTACAGACAGTCTGCCAGTGGAGAGCTGAGATACGACCTGGTATGGGGACTTTGTCATGGGTCCATGCTGCAGCGTTGGTTGCCCTGTTGGCAGCAGCTTGTGTTTACAGAATGAATTCCATGGTGTGATTTGGTCTGTGCTTCTCTTGCCTAATTCTCAGTCTATCCATTGATTCTGAGAACTAACTGGTAATTCTGCTTAAAGTCAGAATAGGAATGTGTTTCAGTAATTGATGATGTAACTGCTACTGAAATTGGGACAGGATGTTTTTGGGCAACAGTCACTCAGGGAAATGGAGGGAGGGGAACCAAGGTTGGTTATGGGGCCAGACTGGAGCTAAAGGCAGTTTAAAAACTTATATCGGGCATGTTCTTGCAGGCCTAAAAAACAGTGGGGGGTCAAACAGGTGACTGAGTGGTAGACTAGAATAAAATTCCCAGGAAGGCAAAATATGAGGTGCCAAATAGCTGCTACCATAGGACAGTGTGAAGGATTTGAGAAATGCAAGGACAGAGTCTGTGATGATACAGTCCATGGGGCTGGAAAGCTTAGAGAAGAAGAAAATCAACTCAAAAGCAGGAAGTATTGACTTAAAGCATAGTCTGGAAATCAGGTAATTTCTATAATAGGGCTTAAAGAATCATTTGGCTTTTGTAGTTTTAAGGATGAAACTGACAAAAACTTAATAGTGCTTAATGATTTAAACCTAAGAACAGAGTTCCGGCCAAGATGGAGGCATAGGTAGAAACCCTTTGCTTCCTCTCACAACCAAAAGAAGGATAACAACCAATCTAAAAATCAATAAACAATCAGAAGCACCAGAAAGTCAAACTGCATGGAACTCTGACAACCAAGGAATTAAAGAAAAAAATGAACCAGAACAACCAGACAAGTAAGGCGGACCCCACCTGGTTGGCGACTCAGAAAAACTGCTGGGAGGCAGCTGAGGGGCAAGGCTGACTGCAGAGCTCTAGGCGGAGCTTTTGTGTGGGAGAGACTGACTTAAGGGGAAAACCGAGACTCAGAGCTGACTGTGGGCTATGGCTGGGGTTGCTTTGGTGAGAGATACTTCCAGTCTGACTCAAGAGTCTGTTGCAAAGTGGGCTAGAGACTAGCAGGTGAGCTGCATTGCTCCCTCTCTGGCCCCTCCCACACAGGCAGCACAGCAAAGAGGGTTGCCAAGCCAGGTGAATACCTAAGGCTCTACCCCTTACAACTTACCAGGTGCACCAAGACAAAGAAATATGGCCCAAATGAAATAACACAGCAAAACCTCAGAACTAAGTGATGAGGACATTGCCAACTTATCTGATGGAGAATTTAAAGCCCTGGTAATCAAAATGTTCACAGAGCTGATTGAGCTGGGTTGAAAAATGAAAGATACTGAAAATGAAATAAAGCAAAATATTCAGGGAACCAACAGTGACAAGGAGGAAACCAAGATTCAAACCAACTATTTGGAACAAAAGGATAAAGTAAATATTCAGGGGGTTCAGAAAGACGAAACAAGAATCCAAAAAAATGAAGAGAGGCTGAGGATTCTCTGGGGCAACCTGAGATGTTCCAACATCCAAATCATAGGGGTGCCAGAAGGAGAAGAGCAACAGTGAGAAATTGAAAACTTATTTGAACAAATAATGAAGGAAAACTTCCCCAATCTGGCAAAGGAAATAGACTTCCAGGAAGTCCAGGAAGCCCAGAGAATCCCAAAGAATTTGGACCTGAAGAGGAACACACCAAGGCATGTCATTATTAAGTTACCCAAGATTAAAAACAAAGAAAAAATCCTGAGAGCAACAGGAGAAAAGGAGACAAATACCTACAAAGGAGTTCCCATAAGGCTATCAGCTGATTTCTCAAAAGAAACCTTACAGGCAAAAAAGGGGCTGGAAAGAAGTATTTGAAATCATGAAAGGCACAAACCTATACTATAACCAAGATGACTCTATCCAGCAAAGCTTTCATTTAGAATGGAAAGACAGATAAAGTGCTTCCCAGATAAGGTCAAGTTAAAGAAGTTCATCATCACCAAGCCCTTATAAATGTTGAAGGGACTTATCTAAGAAGAAAGAAGATAAAAAATATGAACAATAAAATGACAATAAACTCATAATTATCAACAAATGAACCTAAAAGTAATGAAGAAAAAACTAATCAAACAGCCAGAACATGAACAGAATCAGAGAAATGGACATCACACAGAGGGAGTTCAGTGGGGGAGGGTGAAGGGAGGAGTAGGGGGGAAAAGGTACAGGGAAGAAGCAGCATAACTGGTAGGCATAAAATAGATGGGGAGAGGTAAAAAATGGTATAGGAAACAGAGGATTCAAATAACTTATATGTACAACCCATGGACATGAACTAAGGGAGTGGGGATGGTGGAGGGTTGGAGGGGCAGGGTGGAGGGAGGATAAAGGGGAAAAATTGGGAAAACTGTAATAGCATAATCAATAAAGAATGCTTAAAAAATAAACCTAAGAACAAAAAATGAGTTTTCATATCATAATCACAAAAACTTAAAATATTTTGTCTAATAGCCCAGTGTGATCAAGACATTCGTTCACAGCTTTCATAATTGCTACTAATGGTGGGTGACAACAAGAGCTTCACCACAGGAGGAAGTCGAGTGTGGAATGGTGTCAAAAAAGGCTTCATGAGAGATGTTGTGATTAAGCAGGACGTTGACAGGGCTAGAATTTCTGTTGGCAGCAGGGGGCAAATTTTAGAAGGACAGCGGTAATGTGCGTTAATGTTCATCTCTCTGTCCCTAGTGCTTAGCCCAGTTCCTGGCAGAAAGAAGACAATGAATAAACACTTACAAAAACAGATCAAAGAATAAGTGAGCAACAATCAAAAGGAACAACACCAAACCTATCTGAGGGTCATTGAGGCCAATTTGGAGGAAAGAGAGCTCAGGAAGAAAACTGAGGGTATGGCAGGTGGGGTGATATATTCAAAAGGGAGTTGGAGTCAGGTTCCTGAGGACCCCCATCAAAAGAACAGCCAATGTCTTCCAGTGGATCAGGCACATTTTACTATTGCATCTTTTCCTTCACAGCCTATGTTGTCTGCATACCCCATCCCTCTACATTACCAGTTCTTAGCCTTTTAGGCCATCTACTCACTTGCTGAGACAAATTTTATTCTTTTTTAATTAGAAAAATATATGTATTTATTTTTTCCTTTCAAGATAATTTTTAATGCATTATAGATAAAACACACAGAATAAAGAGGAAGACAGTTACATGGAAATGTAGGCCTTCCCATGTATCTTTGTGGCCTGATGGATGGTTTGCAGAGATGTTCCCCGAGATACAGAGCAACATGCTATCCTAAAGTGACTGAGCAATTGTTAAGGAGATAATCTGTGGAAAGGAGGCCCTCCTGGGGTGGGGTTTCCTGAAATTGCACTTGAAGTTGGTCCTACCTGAAGAGGAAGCTGTTGGTGTTCTTTGTTGGGTGGGGAGGAGGTTGCTTGGAAAGACCCACTTTGGTTCTCTGGATCCCCTTTATCCTCCTTGGGGTAACCAGTAGATCCCCATGGCCTGGTCCCAAATTCAGGCTGCATCCCTGTCAAGACCATGTGACCCTCATTTTTCAGGTGCTTCACATCCTCCTACTCAGCAAAACTCTTTCTATCTCTTTTGGGCAAGCTGTGTTAGACCTTCACACCTCCTTTGAAATCTCGGCACTTCCAGGAAATTTCTCTGGGTGCGTGAGTGGCTCCGTGTCCTCTCCTCCTCTCTCCCATAGCCTGCCAGGACCCCAGTCTTTTGAGGTTTCCTCCTTCTTGTCCGTGTCCACCCTGCATCTCCTCTTATAAGTGGGGTGAGATCTCACATTCTAACCTGCCTGAGCCAGTAAGTATGTTTTTACAATGCCTGGTTTATTCAGAGTAATGTGGATCCCAATGCATTTTTAAAAATATTTTTCACATCTTTTAGCGGTTATTTTGCAGCTATTTGCCTCCATGCCTCTAAATAAAACACTTTCTTGATATTTCAGTGCTAGGCATTATAAAACCAATATTCTGGATAATGATTTACCTTCTTTCCTTTCCCAACCTCTGCCACACATGCCCATTTCCATTTTCCATCCTCTCAATATAAAGATTATATATGAGAATGTAGGTTAGATCTATATCTATTGTTTTCATTATTATGACTATGTAATTAATAACTTTACAGCTCTGCTATTAGTAAACTATAATTATTTTACTTTTCCGAATAGCTTTTCATTTTCAATGGAGCTAATAGTTACTACTTTTTAATGTTTTTATTCAGTTGTAAAATCCTCACCAACAATATTACTCTCATTGCAGAACATTCGGAAATCTCAGGCTTAGACAAGTTGCTTTCCACACCTTCCCTGGATCTCCTTTTCTATTCATCCTGGGAATTCCGTCTCTTACCTATGCAGCATCTTCTATTTCCATATATATATATATATACATATATGTATGTATATACACACATATGTGTGTATATATGATCTTCCTCTCAGCTTATTTTTATTATTTATTTTTTTATTCTCCTTTTAAAAAAATTATTTATTTATCTTTAGAGGGGAAGGGAAGGAGAGAAATATCAATGTATGGTTGCCTCTCGTGAGTCCTCTGCTGGGAACTGGCCTGCAACCCAGGCATGTGCCCTGACTGGGAATCAAACCGTGATACTCTGGTTCGCAGGCCCACGCTCAATCCACTGAGCTACACCAGCCAGGGACGCTTATTTTTATTTTGATGAGCACATTATCAAGAAGCTTCTGGAGGTAAAATTTTTGAGTGCTTGTGTATCTGAAAATGTCTTCATTACACCCTACACTTGATTGACAGTTTGGTTAGGTATAGAATTTTAGGTTAGAAAAAATAATTTTCTTGAGAGGTTGAAGGCATCTCTCTGTTGTCTTCTAGCTTTCATTGGTACACTTGAAATATCTAGAGCCTTTCTGATTTCTGATTCTTTCATGTGCAATCTGTTTTCTTTTTCTTTCCTGGCCAGAAGCTTGTAAAATATTTATATTTTCTCTAACTTTTGAAATTTC